TAGCATTTATTCAAAAACGATCATCTCTTCAGGTCTGTCTGGGCAGAGGGGTGGAGATGCGGGATGAACCAGGGCTTTCAAATATGCATATGAGCTAGTGTGCTGGATGATGCTGTCTCCCTGGGAAGAGAGCTAAGGTTTGACTCAGCACTCACTTAAGAGGTAAAAACTGCCCCAAAGCAATGAACAGACACTTAACAAAATTAGATATAGAGGTGGTCATATGTACAGGGGGAACAAAAAGTACATCATCTTATTAGTTGAGTTGGGTGTAAATTAATACTTCAGGGAGGTATCTGTCCACCAAGACTGGACAGACTTCAACTGAAATAACAAAAAAGACTGGCCATATTCAGCTTTGGTGATGACGGAGAAGAAAACAGTCTTTCAAACACTACTAGCAAGCATGTCAAGGGGGAGGAAACCCACTCTGCAATGAGAACACGTGCATTCTTAGAAACTCCACATACAAACTCTCCTGCTGTCAATAGTCCTGCTTTTAAGAATTCACTCAAGGGAGCTGGGTGGTGGTGGTGTACGACTCTAATCCCAGCACTAGGGAGGCAGAGCTAGGCAGATCTCTGAGTTTGAGGCCAGCCTGAGCTACAGAGTGAGTTCCAGGAAAGGCGCAAAGCTACACAGAGGAACCCTGTCATGAAAAACAAAAAAACAGAAAAACAAAAAAAGAATTCACTCAAGGGAAATGAAAACAGGTCCACACAAAGATGTGTACACAGATATTCACAAAAGCTTTGCTCACAGTAGCCACATCTGAAGGTACCCCAGGTATTAATGAACAAAGGAAGGATTAAAAAACATATGGTATAGATTTCCCAAGCCCATGCCATCCCAGTAAGTTCCTAGTCCTGTAGCGTGGCCCTCCCCCCAATGCCAGAAGACTTCCACCAAGCAGACTCAAGCCACATAAGCCACAATAGGTGAGTGACCTGCCTAACAACAGAACTGTACCCTCCCCCCAATTCTGTCTGCTGCAACCCTTCACCAGGCCAACACCACCCCACCTTGTCCCTGGCTCTGCTGTTGCTGGACCCTGTCCCCAACCCCAGCAGACTTCCACCATTGAGATGCAGACTACATCAGCCACAACTGCCCTCACCAGTCAACAAGCGGCCCTTCCCTAGAACTCTAGCAGACTCCATGGGCAGGGACATAGTCCATACCAATTGGAAGTACAGATGCTATAAGCCAACATACAGTCCACACCATTCAAAAGAACAGCCCTAGCAGCACTACTGGAGGCCAGGATGGTCCTAGGTAACCCAGAAGAAGACTCTGGCTATACTGGAGGTCTGGCTGGATATAGTTTTACTGGAGGCTAGACCAGATCAAGGAACCCAAGGCCCCTAAAACTCTAATGGAGACACCCTACTAGAACCCTTGGCCACTTGGGCCAGAAGACCAGAGAGGAAACAGAAACCAAGGAACAAAACACCTATCCAACCAAGACAAGCACAAAATTCAACACCTAGACCCATAATCACCCCAAATCCAGATGTCTAAATGTCAGTGTACAGACACAATAATAGAAAGGACAATCTATCACCACCAGAACCCAGCAATCCTGTGCCAGCAAGAGCTGAACATTCCAACGCAGCTGAAGCACAAGAAAATGACCTTAAAAATAACTTTATGAAGATGATAGAAGTTCTTAAAGAGGAAATAGAAAATCCCTTAAAGAAATGGAGGAAAAGATAACCAAAAAAAATGGAGGAAATTGATAAACCTCTCTTAAAGAATGTCAAGAAAACCAAGAAAAACAGTTGACAAAAACAAATAAAATTGTTCAAGACCTGAAAATGAAAATAGAAGCAATAAAGAAATGAACTGAGGGAATTCTGGAATTGGAAAACCTGGGTAAGGGAACAGAAACTACAGATGCAAGTATCACCAACAGAATACAAGAGATGAAAGAGAGAGAAGTTACAATAGAGGAAATAGATTCATTGGTCAAAAAAATGTTAAATCTAAAAAGTTCCTAACACAAGCATCCAGGAAAAGAGCAAACCTAAGAATAATAGGAATAGAAGGAGACAGATCACTGCTCAAAGGCCAAGAAAATATATTCAACAAAATCATAGAAGAAATTTTTCCCAACCTAAAGAAGGATATACCTACAAAGGTACAAGAAACTTACAGAACACCAAATAGATTGGACCAGAAGAAAAGTCCCCTTGCCACATAATAATCAAAACACTAAACATACAGAACAAAGAAAAAATGCTAAAAGCTGCAAAGGAAAAAGGCCAAGTAACATATAAAGGCAGATTTATCAGAATTACACCTGATTTTTCAATGGAGTCTCTATAAGCCAGAAGAGCCTGTACAGACCTCTTGAAGACTCTAAGAGACCATGGATGCCAGCCGAGACTACGATACCCAGCAAAACTTTCAATAACTACAGTTGGATAAAATAAGATATTTCATGACAAATTCAAATTTAATCAATATCTATCCACAAACCCAGCTCTATAGAAGGTACTGAAAGGAAAACTCCAACCCAGGGAAGTTAGCTACACCCACAAAAACACAGGCAATAGATAATCCCACACCACATGGAAACACACACACACACACCACCACCACCACCACCACCACCACCACCACTATTACCACCACTACCAACAACAACAAAATAGCAGGAATTAGCAATCACCAGTCATTAATATCTCTCAATATCAATGAACTCTATTGGCCAATAAAAAGACACAGGCTAGCAGAATGGATACAAACACAGGATTCATCCTTCTTCTGCCTCACACCTCAACATTACAGACAGACATTACTTCAAAGTAAAGGGTTGGAAAAAGACTTTCCAATCAAATGGACGAAAGAAGCAAGCTGGTGTAGCTATTCTAATATATAACAAAATAGACTTCAAACAAAAATTAATCAAAAGGGAAGAAGAAGGACATTTTATATTCATCAAAGGAAAAATATACCAAGATGGTGTCTCAATTCTGAACATCTAGGCCCCAAATACAAGGGCACCTACATTTGTAAAAGAAACATTACTAAAGCTACAATTATATATCAAACCCCTCACATTAATTGTGGGAGACTTCAATACCCTATTCTCGCCAATGGACAATTTATCCAGACAAAAACTAGATAGAGGAATATTGGAACTAATAGATGTTATGACTCAAAAGCACCTAACAGATATCTAAAACACATTTCACCCAAACACAAAAGAATATAACTTTTTCTCACCATGCCATGGAACCTTCTCCAAAATTGAACACATACTTGGTCACAAAACAAGTCTTAACAGATACAAAAAATTGGAATAACCCCCTGTATCTTGTCAGATCACCATGGATTAAAGATGGAGTTCACCAACAACACAAACTACAGATAGCCTACAAACTCATGGAAACTGAACAATTCTCAACTAAATTACCACTGGGTCAAGGAAGACATAGAGAAAGAAATTAAAGACTTCTGAGAATTCAGTGAAAATGAATGCACAACATATCCAAACATGTGGGACACAATGAAAGATGTGCTAAGAGGAAAGTTCACAGCATTAAGTGCCCACATAAATAATCTGGAGAAATTTCATACTAGAGACTGAATAGCACACTTGAAAGCTCTAGAACTTCTTTTTAGAAGCAAACACACCTAAGAGGCGCAGATGGCGGGAAATAATCAAACTGAGGGATGAAATCAATAAAATAGAAAAAAAGAGATCAATCAATGAAACAAAAGACAGAGAATATCCAAATTAAGAAATTCAGAAATGAAAAGGGAGATATAACAACAGTCACTGAGGAAATTCAGACAATCATTAGGTCATATTTCAACAACCTATAATACAAAAAATTGGAAAAATCTAAACGAAATGACAAATTTCTTGATAGATAACACATACCAAAATCAAACCAAAATTAGAGAAACAATTTAAACAGACCTATAACCCATAAGGAGAATGAAGCAGTCATTAAAAGTCTCCCAAAGAAAACTTACACAAGAGTACCTACTTTACTATCCATTTTAAGACACTGGGCCAAAGATATCTCACCTGTAATGGGGAAACCTGGAATAGTATTTGCCTCTTGGAAATGGGTACAAGAATGGAGTGAACTGTGGTATGAGAGAATTTTATGGAGTGATGGCCGTATACTAGATCTCAATAAGGGTTTAGAGTACACAGATGTGTATACATGCATCAAGACCCAGAAAAGTCTCATTTAAAATTCCTATGTAACACCATGTGTAAATTTTACCTCAAAACTAAAATGCAAGAGATACACACAAATAAATATTCAATTTAATTAGTAATACATGCTTTGAGGAAAATGTGTCAAAATCTTCGATTTAAAGTGTACTTGACAGAGTTCTCACCCAGCAAGCACAAAGAAATGCCTGTATCTATGGGGTTTCTATCCGGAATCCCATAGAGCAGGTTTGGTGTGGCATACCTAATCAGAAGTTTATGGTCATTGTTAGCTACATAGTGAGTTCAAAACCAGCCTGGAATCCATGAAACTCTGTCTCAGAAAAGAAGTGCCTTTGAAAATAGGATGGATTAATAAATGGATGACAGTAGACAGATATGGCTAAGGCAAGTTCATAAGAAAATCTAAGTTGGCTTACAAGGCAGAACATGGATGTTTCCTGTGAGAACCCTCAGCCTCTCTGTATGCTGGGACTGTTTGATAGATTAGGGGAGAAGGCTTCATTTTTTTTTAATAGTAGAAAGGGATAAAGTCTTCCTTACCTAGTCAACACTAATGGCACATGGGCACTCTGTGCCTTAGCTGAACAAACCATGGCACAGGAAGTCAATCCTTTCCTTCTTCCACTGACCACATAAAATGACTTCATTCCATTTTTTTATTTGGAAGACAAACCTGCTAGGTTACGTTAGGAACACACTCTTCAGGAGAAGATATGCAAAGCCTATTCTAATCGGTTTTCAAGAACCCTCTGCAAAACACGTTCAACTCTTTTTAGTTAAAAAGATAGGACAGCTTTCTGCCTGTTGACGCGCCCGAGGAAGCATCGCTGAAGGCTCTCGTTTCCCTGCCGTCATGTCTAAGTCAGAGTCTCCCAAAGAGCCGGAACAGCTGCGGAAGCTCTTCATTGGAGGGCTGAGCTTCGAAACGACCGACGAGAGCCTGAGAAGCCATTTTGAGCAATGGGGAACACTCACGGACTGCGTGGTAATGAGAGATCCAAACACCAAGCGATCCAGGGGCTTTGGGTTCGTCACATACGCCACTGTGGAGGAAGTGGATGCTGCTATGAATGCAAGACCACACAAGGTGGATGGAAGAGTTGTGGAACCTAAGAGAGCCGTGTCGAGAGAAGATTCTCAGAGACCGGGTGCCCACTTAACTGTGAAAAAGATCTTTGTTGGTGGTATTAAAGAAGACACTGAAGAACATCACCTGCGAGATTATTTTGAGCAGTATGGAAAGATTGAAGTGATTGAGATCATGACTGACAGAGGCAGTGGAAAAAAGAGAGGGTTTGCTTTTGTCACTTTTGATGACCACGACTCTGTGGACAAGATTGTTATTCAGAAATACCATACTGTGAATGGCCACAACTGTGAAGTCAGAAAAGCCCTGTCAAAGCAGGAGATGGCTAGTGCTTCATCCAGCCAAAGAGGTCGAAGTGGTTCCGGAAACTTTGGTGGTGGTCGTGGAGGCGGTTTTGGTGGCAATGACAATTTTGGTCGAGGGGGGAACTTCAGTGGTCGTGGTGGCTTCGGTGGCAGCCGTGGTGGTGGTGGATATGGTGGCAGTGGGGATGGCTATAATGGATTTGGTAATGATGGAAGCAATTTTGGAGGTGGTGGAAGCTACAATGATTTTGGCAATTATAACAATCAGTCTTCAAATTTTGGACCAATGAAGGGAGGAAACTTTGGAGGCAGAAGTTCTGGCCCTTATGGTGGTGGTGGCCAGTACTTCGCTAAACCACGAAACCAAGGTGGCTATGGTGGTTCCAGCAGCAGCAGCTATGGCAGTGGCAGGAGGTTCTAATTACAGCCAGGAAACAAAGCTTAGCAGGAGAGGAGAGCCAGAGAAGTGACAGGGAAGCTACAGGTTACAGCAGATTTGTGAACTCAGCCAAGCACAGTGGTGGCAGGGCCTAGCTGCTACAAAGAAGACATGTTTTAGACAATACTCATGTGTATGGGCAAAAAACTCCAGGACTGTATTTGTGACTAATTGTATAACAGGTTATTTTAGTTTCTGTTCTGTGGAAAGTGTAAAGCATTCCAACAAAGGGTTTTACTGTAGACCTTTTTTCATGCTGTTGATTGCTAAATGTAATAGTCTGATCATGACGCTGAATAAATGTGTCTTTTTTTTCTTTTTTTTTCTTTTTTCTTTTTTTCTTTTTTTTTCTTTTTAAATGTGCTGTGTAAAGTTAGTCTACTCTGAAGCCATCTTGGTAAACCTCCCCAACAGTGTGAAGTTAGAATTCCTTCAGGGTGGTGCCAAGTTCCATTTGGAATTTATTTATAATTGCTTGGGTGGAGAAGGCATTGTCTTCAAAAACCTTGGTGTAGTTAAACTGCCAGTTACTGTTGTGACTTTAATGAGTTTTACCATTGAAAGGGTCATCCAAGCAAAGTCACAGTTTGGTTACAATAAAATGGTTGTGGGCACACCCTATGCAACATCAAAATTGAATAATGGTATCAGATAAAATAACAGATGGGAATGAAGCTTGTGTATCATCCATTATCATGTGTAATCAATAAACGATTTAATTCTCTTGAAAAAAAAAAAAAAGATAGGACAAAGGCATTTTGTCTCTGGATAATTCTCCTTCTCTCTGCAGCTCCTGTTTGGATCTCAGCATGTGAGCAGGAAAGCCAGACAAAACCATCCTCGCATCCTGACGAACACAGCCCTATTGTTTTCCTCTGGTGAGAGGCATCATAGGAACAGCCTGATTTTGCTCAGTGTGGTCCAGACAACCCCATGCAGGAACTGCTCAGGTCATTTGCTGACAGACAATTGCATTGTCAGCACTGCGTGTAGAGGGTAATTGTGTGATTATGGCTCCCTTGTAAACCTTGCATCAGAAGGCAAAACTCCGGGACTAGTTAGAGCAGTGGGGATGAGTAAAAATGGACTGCAGGGGAGAGCAGCTGAATGCCTGTGGCCCATCAGCTTCAGCGAGGCACAGATGGGACAACCAGCTCATCGCCGCTTGGGAGATAGTTACTGCAATGGAACAACACAATGTAATCGTTATGGCAGTTAACATGGTTAGAAGGAACCCGAGATTTATTGGCACTTGGCAACTGGGAAAGAATAGGATGCAGTGAGACAATAGGTGTGTTGAAGCCACTGGTACCTGCAGAGAAGCCAAGTGCTTAAATTTCTGTGGGTTTCAGCACCCTAGCCCGTTACTTCCTAACTCTGTGACTTCAGGCATCTCTCCTGGGCTTCTGGGCCTCTGTTTCACATTGTCTGTGAGATGACCTAAGTCCCCAAAGCCCCCATGCAGTTTTTGTGAGGACTGGTTGAGCAAGGAATGAAGCTGAAGATGATGCTGGGCGTATGAGCAGCATCATGGAAATGCTTGTTATGACTCCAGGCAATCTGCCTTTCCTCTGGGCCTTGGATTGTCTCCAGTTGCTGCTCCAGTGTGAAGCTCCAAATATTTCTCTCTGTTCCTTGGCGACTATCTGCCCTCCCTTTAGGTTGGACATTCTTGTTCTGGGCATGGGCCATGACTCGTCACAGTAAGCAGGATGAATCCAGGCAGAGGAAAGCTGTGCTGAGATAAGCAAGGCTGCCTGGAGGATTCCTTCAGAGAACTCAGGCACGAAAGTACTTAATGGGTGCTTATTTCTAACATCTCCACTGGCCTTAGTTTCTTCCTTTTAGAACAATGATGATAGTGGTGACGTCAATTTTACATTTTTATCATGAAAATGAGAATGATACATGCCAAGTGCCTGTCACCATATTTGACTGTACAATAGATGATAGAAGGCAATTATATATGATTATATATGTGCACGCATATATGTATACATGTATGTACTATGCATATAAATGTTCAGTTGTAATAATTATCATAGAAATATAGTGTAAGAGCAATTATAATTCTAAGGCTGTAACAAGATGAATGAGACTTGTAAGTGAATGGATGTCTTCTAGGTCTAGTCAACTTAAGAAGCAACAATTCCACAAACGTTATGTTCACCTGTGTTTTCTATTAGCTCTGACTTTGAAACTAACTGGTGATGATAAAGTGAGATCTATTCACATAGCATCAGTAAAATAGAAAATTTTCCCATGATTCACTTATTTATTACAACAGAATTACAATATTTTTGGTGATGCTTTTGGCAACACAACCCTGTACCAAAGGCTTACTGGTTTGACAAATGGTGGATATTCAAATACCTTTTCTTAACACAAAGCTACCCATCAGGGCACCATATAATCTTCACATTGTGTCATAGAAAAGCAAATTAAGCATGTGGGAAGATAAATAATTTCACTCATTGCTTTATTAACCGTGTTTGATAATTTCCCATGAACTCATTTGGGGCCACAATGGGCATTAAAACACAGGAGAGTGTGAAGGGGCCATAAATCAGGCAAATGGTATTTTCAAGATTTCACTCACTTTATTCAATGTCCTCTAAAGCTAAACGCTTTCGGTTAGAAACTGTGTGGTCAGGAGGGGGCATGCAGCCAAATGAGAACAAGAGAGATGCACTGTGATAAGGATGCAGCTCCCTTTCCTGGCTTTGAGACCAGAGGGATGCGACCATGAGCCTGGAATAAGAGCAGCCTCTAAGGACTAGAACAGGTGAGAGTAAATTATTCTCAGACTTACAGCAGGGAGTGCATCCAGCTGAACTCTGATTTTTCTCAGTGAGGCCCATGTGGAATTTACAACCTTTCCAAGAGTAAATTTGTAGCATTTTTAAAAGTTTGTTTAAACGTGTGTGTGTGTGTGTGTGTGTGTGTGTGTGTGTGTAAGTTTATGTGCACCACATGCATGTAGATGCTCAAGGGGGCCAGAAGAGGGAGTCAAATTCTTTGAAACTGTAGTTACAGGTGATTGTGAGTCTCCTGAAGTGGGTGCTGGGAACTGAACCTGAGTTCTCTGCAAGAGCAGTAAGTACTCTTAGCCACTAAGTCATCTCTCCAGATGTGTGTTTACGTCTCAAAATGTACTACCATGTCTCTGGATACACCAACTTGAAGCACATTTTGGAATTAGCATGATAAAGAGCCCATCTTATCATAACCTCTTTCAATAATGGATTTGAATAATACCTTTATTCCAAATATTTCAAGTACGTATTTTGGGTCATGTACTGTAGGAGGTACTAGGTACTCATAGGTATACTAGGCATCCAACCTGATGGCTGCCCTTAAGATAACATTCTTAGCTAAGTAACAAAAAAAGTCAGGAAGCAAAGAAACAAATCTGTACTATGAATTGTGAGAAGTCATATGAAGAAAACGGACAATACAGTATGATGAAGAATCAAAAGTGAACCCAAGAGACAGGGCAACAGCATTCAAGTGATCTGAGAAAGCTTCACAGGGAAGGCAACTTCCACACAAACACCTGAAAGATGAGGAGGATCCATCCTCATGGAAAGAAAATTCCAGAGAAAGAAAAGGTAATGGGCAAAGAACTTGAGGCCTATGAAGTCCTGGTTATGTGAAAGGTAATGAATGCAGACTGGCATGGCTGACACAGTACATGAGCATGTTGACCGCAGAGAGACTGGAAAAATGGAATAGTCTCACTTATATTGGTCTGTCAGGTGGGCAGTGTGTGTGTGTGTGTGTGTGTGTGTGTGTGTGTGTGTGTGTGTGTGTGTGTGTGTAGTGTTTAAGCAGCTTTACTGAGGTACAATTCAAGTCCTACACAATTGACTAATCCAAAGATTCTTAGCTTTGACATGCAGCGTTAAATTATCAGCACAATCAACTGCATAGTTTTTGAGAAATTATGTAAGGAAAAGCTGGGAATCATGCAAGTAAAGCAGGAATAGTTAGAAGGCTTGGCAGAAAAACAGAATAAAAGTAGATGGTTGTTTAACCTTGAAGGACAAAGTTGGTGAAAAGCAGAAGGCATAATCATAGGCAAGTGCGTGAAGATTAATTTAGCTCAAAAATGGGAACAAAGAAGGGGAATTACAAATGCCCTCCAGATTTCTGCCTGGAACTTAGAGGATATTTTCATGGTGACATTATCTTTAATTAAAATTGGCATCATGGACCCCACCCTTTACCGAGGAGCTGCCATCAGTCAATTGTTGTGGGAGGGAGAGTCATTCTCTCTTCAGGATGTGGCCCCTGGTAGATGGTCTATGCTTCAGTGGATGGCCCTCACAACATCGTACATATAAACTATATTAACTGGACTTGGTGGGTTAGCAAAAGAAAGGAAGAAAAGAAATGAAGTTGAAAGAGATATTGGGGAAGTATGGGGAGTAGATATGATCATATTAAATTTTATGTATATAAGATTCTCAAAAATAAAGATATTCTTTCAAATTGTCATTCCAGTAGAATGCTGATAAAAAGCTAGATCTGGATATTCTAAATTACAAAGTCTTGAAGGTATTCACTGAATTTGAGAAACTTTATTTATGTACATAGACTTCCTTTAATGATATTAAAATTAGAGATATAGAAACATATTCAGTGTGGAGCTAGATCTGAGGCTAAATCTTTATGAAATTAATCACAACTTCTATGATTTAGACTCAGAAAAACCAATATTCTTTATCACATTGAATTAATATTATAAGTTTTCCAATTACTTTGATCTATAGCTGAGTGGTTTTCAAAATATGTTTGTAGTTGAATAAGAGCTATATGCATAGAGACTTCATTCCTAGTTTTATGTATATGCTATTGTAGAAATTTTTGCTCACCACATATAGCACTGTGGTGGGTTTGAATGATAAATGTTCCCCATAATCTCAGGCATTTATTTGAATGCGTCATCCCCAGTTGGTGATGCTGTTTGGATAGATTTAGGAAGCATGTCAGCAGGTCTGTAAGTCAAGCGGTCATATGCACCCACAGTAAGGAAGCTGCAGAGGGACATTGCTGACTCAACTACTTCCTCTTCTCCTTTGGAAACTCAGTCTGGGAGCCCAGTCAATGAAGGGTCCTTCCTCCTTAGTTAAACCTCTCTGGAAACATCCTTACAGACATGCCCAGCAGTGTCTGATGGTGACTATAAATCCAGTCAGGTTGACAATGAATGTAACCATTACAAAATACATAGTATACCAGTCACCTGACCGGAAGTGTTTTGCAAATGCCAATCAACTTGATTTTTAGAATAAGAAAATGGTTATAGTATTAATATTCTCAGCTTACATGAGGGAGACAGAGACAGGATGAAGTCTGGTGATATAGCCAAGTTTACTAACCAAACATCTGAGTTTCAGACTTAGGTAATATTGGATCGTAGATTTATGTTTATATATATATATATATATATATATATATATATATATATATATATAACCTCATAATTTAAGTGAATACAAGAAAGACCTATGATTCTTTTCCTCTGGAGTATATTTCTCAAATATGAGCAAACTCTCATGGTCCATTGATCCTTGAGAAGAATATAGAGGAGATTGAGTCTGAGGTCCTTTTTAATCCAAGAGCAAACATGTCTGAGAGAATGAAATAAGTACTTATTAGGTTATTCCAGTTATTTGGAGTGTATCCAAGTGTGGTGCCACATACATACAATCCTAGCAT